GCGGTGCAGCGGCGCCATACCATTTGGTACGTGCGTTTGCAGATACGCAGGAGCGCATTTAATGACATCGCCGCATGTCTGCTAAATGCCAGTATGTTGCCCTGCGTGTCTGGAAAGTGCACAATTTTGTGCGTGTTTCAGAGATAACCTAGTCAGCGGGCCAGATCGCACCACGCCCCCATCTGAATCGCACAGGAACGCACTGTACGTTGCTGAGCGATTCGGCCCGCATGCAACACGCATTGATTTTGTGATCTGCGGCGGGTGCCAATAAAAATAATGACGTCACAAACGCAGTGCATCCACCCGCACCGGATCACATGGTACTACTGGTACACGGCATGGTACATGGATCGCAGGCACTACGTTTGGCGCTGTGCGATTTTAGCCCATTCAAAATGAAGGGACTTGAATCAATCCCACCGCACAGAGCCGCACGTAAGTCGCAGCTGCACGTTTTCCGCACGTTTCAGTGAGCCGCACGTTTTCCGCACCTTTTCACGCAGCGTGTTGGGCAGCCCATTCATTTTATAAAAAAGACAGGAAAGTTGACCTTTTTCTGAAATTGCACCAAACCATGCGGTGCAGCGGTGCCATACCATTTGGTACGTGCGTTTGCAGATACGCAGGAGCGCATTTAATGACATCGCCGCACGTCTGCTAAATGCCAGTATGTTGCCCTGCGTGTCGGGAAAGTGCGCAATTTTGTGCGTTTCAGAGATGACCTAGTCAGGAGGCCAGATCGCACCACGCCCCATCTGAATCGCACAGGAATGCACTGTACGTTGCTGAGCGATTCAGCCCGCATGCAACACGCATTGATTTTGTGATCTGCGGCGGGTGCCAATAAAAATAACGACACTCCAAACGCAGGTCACAAACGCAGTGCATCCACCCGCACCGGATCACATGGTACTACTGGTACACGGCATGGTACATGGATCGCAGGCACTACTTTTGGCGCTGTATGATTTTAGCCCATTCAAAATGAAGGGACTTGAAATCCCACAGAGCCGCACGTAAGTCGCAGCTGCACGTTTTCCGCACGTTTCGGCTCTTGACTTGAAATCTCACCGCACAGAGCCGTACGGGAGTCGCATGTGCGATTCAGCGATTCAGCTCCGGGCATAGTGTGAACCGGCCGCTAGTCTCTGCAGTAACCCCGGGTACACACGATGAGGATATCAGACGAACGATCGTCTGTTGTTTTTGCATGTTTGTCTCAGATGGAAAACTAATCGGTTACTAGAGTGACGAAAATGTTCGTAAGACAGAATACAACTTCCTGCAATGATGTAATGTATCAGACACGTGCAGTTCGTTTTGTTCCGAATCGAAATTCAGACAAAGTTTCCGTTATTCAGGGATTCGGATGTATTCAAATTCCGAATTACAATAGTAACGAATTTAAATGAATCTGAACTAACGAAACAAAATTCGGAGGAAATTTGAATCGATTCAAATTCGAAAACACATTCAAAAACAAATTAAAATTTGAAAACCAATTTGAGTTTGAAAACAAGAATAGAATAAAAAAACAAAAAATAAACAAATAGAAAATAAAAGAATAGAATAGAAAATATAAGAAGAGAAAAAAAATAGAAAAGAATAAAGGAAAAAAGAACAGAATAGAAAATAAAAGAATAGAACAGAATACAGTAGAAAATAATAGAGTAAAACAGAACAAAATAGAATAGAAAATAAAGGAATAGAAAAGAATAGAATAGAAAATCAAAGAATAGAATAGAATAGCGTAAAACAGAGCAAAATAGAAAAAAAAATAAAGGAATAGAAAATAATAGAATCCATTAGAATAGAATATAAATTCAAAGAATAGAATAGAAAAGAGTAAAATCAATTATAATAGAAAAAAAAAAGATTAGAATAGAATAGAAAATCAAAGAATAAAATAGAAAAGAATAGAATCAATTATGATGGAATAGAAAAGTTTAGAATAGAATAGAGAAGATTAGAATAGAAAATCAAAGAATAGATAAGAATAGAATCAATTATAATGTAATAGAAAAGATAACAATAGAATAGAGAAGATTAAAATAGAAAATCAAAGAATAGAATAGAAAATAATAGCGTAAACCAGAGCAAAATAGAATAGAAAATAAAGACATAGAAAAGAATAGAAATCCATTAGAATAGAATAGAAAATCAAAGAATAGAATAGAAAAGAATAGAATCAATTATAATAGAAACGAAAAGATTAGAATAGAATAGAAAATCAAAGAATAGAATAGAAAATAATAGCGTAAACCAGAGCAAAATAGAATAGAAAATAAAGGAATAGAAAAGAATAGAATCCGTTAGAATAGAATAGAAAATCAAATAATAGAATAGAAAAGAATAGAATCAATTATAATAGAAAAGAAAAGGTTAGAATAGAATAGAAAAGAATAGAATAGAAAATGAAAGAATAGAATAGAAAAAAAAATAGCATAAAACAGCAAAATAGACTAGAAAATAAAAAATAAAGAAATAGAATAGAATCAATTAGAATAGAATAGAAAAGATTAGAATAGAAAATCAAAGAATAGAATAGAAAATAATAGCACAAAACATAGCAAAATAGAATAGAAAATAAAGGAATAGAATAGAATCAATTAGAATAGAATAGAAAATCAAATAATAAATAGAAAAGAATAGAATCAATTATAAAAGAAAAGATTAGAATAGAATAGAAAAAGATTAGAATAGAAAATCAAAGAATAGAATAGAAAATAATAGCATAAACCAGAGCAAAATAGAATAGAAAATAAAGGAATAGAAAAGAATAGAATCCATAGAATAGAATAGAAAATCAAATAATAGAATAGAAAAGAATAGAATCAATTATAATAGAAAAGAAAAGGTTAGAATAGAATAGAAAATAATAGCATAAAACAGCAAAATAGACTAGAAAAAAAAGGAATAGAATAGAATCAATTAGAATAGAATAGAAAAGATTAGAATAGAAAATCCAAGAATAGAATAGAAAATAATAGCATAAAACAAAGCAAAATAGAATAGAAAATAAAGGAATAGAATAGAATCAATTAGAATAGAAAATAATAGAACAGAAAAGATTAGAATAGAATAGAAAAGATTAGAATAGGGAATCAAAGAATAGAATAAAAAAACAATAGAAGAGAATAAAATAGAAAGAATATACCTGCTTTCCGAAATTTGAATTTTGAATAAAAAGAATATGTATTCGAACAGAATACTTTAGAATAGAATATAAAATAATAGAAAAGAATAGAATAGATTAGAAAAAACTAAAATACTAAATATTTCTGAAATAGAAATTCCCAATATGATCACGCAACTCTTCATTTAGCCCGAATACCATCAAAAACACCTGGATTGTGAATGATGGATGTAACGTTAGAATCATTTTCGAATCCATTTTGAAATATTGAATTTGGTCGAATTTGAATAAACGAAATTAATTCCGAAAAACAAATTAAGCAAATTTAACTAATTGAACGAATCGAAACGAAACAAAATGAATTTTTTTATTTTGCACATGTCTATAATGTATTGTACTGTATTCTTTTGTTTCTGAGCATGCGCGGTCTGGGTCACCTGATATTTTACAGACGAATACCGTACTGATTAAATGAAAATCGTTCAGATATCATACGAGAACAAGTTTTGTGTTTGTCCATTTGGATCATTTTGCATGAACTGTTGTGATCGGCTCTAGAAAGCTGCGTACTAACGATCGGATTATCGGACGATTTTCTCATCATGTGTACTAGGCTTACTAATATACAAATCTTTGTTTTTGAGGTTTTTTGTTTTTGTTTTTATAAAGTAACAAACATGTCTATACTTACCTGCTCTGTACAGTTCTGCACACAGCTGCCTCGATCCTTTTCAGGACTCCCGCGGCGCTCCTGGCTCCCCCCCCTCATGTAGTGCCCCCAGAGAAAGCCGCTTGCCCTGGGGGCATGGGCTGCGTGATCGCTCCTGAGACGCTGCCCTATGAGTCCATAAGACTCATGGATTGGCCCCATCCCCCACTCTCTCATGGCACTTATGTCTCAGCCAATGAGGAGGGAGAGTCCTCATACAGCTGAGGTTGTTGAAAATGTCGCTGGATTGGAGGGGGCTCAGGTAAGGATTGAAGGGGGGGGGGGGTGCTGGGTGCTGCACACAGATTTTTTATCTTCATTCATTGATATGCATAAAGGTAAAAAAAAAAAAAACCTGAGCCTTAGAGACCATTCACACATGTGCGGCTTGTCATGTGACTTTGGGGTCCAAAATCGCATGACAAGTCGTACCCCACGTTTCCGAATGAGTGCCATTCATATCTGTGTGACTTCAAGTCGCAGCAACTTCCTGCACTACTTTGGTCCGACTTTCATGTGACTTGGGGGCCATAGAGTTTAATGTAAACCTTTCAAAGTCACATGAAAGTCGCACCTGCATATCATACATGCGACTTGTGTGTGACTTTGTACAGCACAAACAATCATTCTTGGTCAAAGCCAAAGTCGCACTCATCCAAAGTCGCAGCAAAGTTGCACCAAAGTCACAGCAAGTCGCACTGTAAAGCCGCCCTGAAAATGTCACGATTATGAAGTCACAGAAGTGTGAATGGAGCCTTAGATCCACTGCAAGGGTTCATTTACATGGGACAAGAGAGCGGTGAAAACATGCAGAATCGCATGGCAAAATCACGTAGCCAGAATGTTCGTTGGGACCTTAGGATGAAAAGAGATGGCGAGGAAGAGACACAGTGCATCCTTACCGCCTGTCTAATGTCATCTAAAGAGCAAACCACTGTAATTCACTTTTCAGAAGGGCTGCAAAGGCTGCCACTCATCAGAATGAGCCTGTAATCCCGCAGAGGGTCTCTTACCTCCTCTTCTGGGGTCCCTCATAGCAAGCTGTGTACTATGGGGGCATGCTCCCGAGCCAGACAGTGTGTGTCCATATACACACACAGCACGGCTTGACCCTGCCTCCTGCTTCCTCCTCAAGAGATTTGTTACTAAACCCTGGACCCTGCATTCACTATATCCGGTCTCCCCGGACCCTGCATTCACTATATCTGGTCTCCCCGGACCCTCTCCCTGGTCTCCCCGGACCCTGCACTCGCTATATCTGGTCTCCCCGACCCTGCACTCACTATATCTGGTCTCCCCGGACCCTGCATTCACTATCTGGTCTCCCCGGACCCTGCATTCACTATATCTGGTCTCCTCGGACCCTGCATTCACTATATCAGGTCTCCCCGGACCCTGCATTCACTATATCTGGTCTCCCAGGACCCTGCATTCACTATATCTGCTCTCCCCGGACCCTCCATTCACTATATCTGGTCTCCCCGGACCCTGCATTCACTATATCTGGTCTCCCCGGACCTTGCGTTCACTATATCTGGTCTCCCCGGACCCTGCATTCACTATATCTGGTCTCCACGGACCCTGCGTTCACTATATCTGGTCTCCCCGGACCCTGCATTCACTATATCTGCTCTCCCCGGACCCTGCATTCACTATATCTGCTCTCCCCGGACCCTGCGTTCACTATATCTGCTCTCCCCGGACCCTGCGTTCACTATATCTGCTCTCCCCGAACCCTGCGTTCACTATATCTGGTCTCCCCGGACCCTGCGTTCACTATATCTGGTCTCTCCGGACCCTGCGTTCACTAAATCTGGTCTCCCCGGATCCTGCGTTCACTATATCAGGTCTCCCCGGACCCTGCACTCACTATATCTGGTCTCCTCGGACCCTGCATTCCCTATATCTGTTCTCCCCGGACCCTGCATTCCCTATATCTGGTCTCCCCGGACCCTGCACTCACTATATTCGGACCCACTATATCTGGTCTCCCAAGACCCTGCATTCACTATATCTGGTCTCCCAAGACCCTGCATTCACTATATCGGTCTCCCCGGACCCTGCATTCACTATATCTGCTCTCAACGGACCCTGCATTCACTATATCTAGTCTCCTGGGACCCTGCATTCACTATATCTGGTCTCCCCGGACCCTGCATTCACTATATCAGGTCTCCCCGGACCCTGCAATCACTATATCTGGTCTCCCTGGACCCTGCATTCACTATATCTGGTCTCTCAAGACCCTGCATTCACTATATCCGGTCTCCCCGGACCCTGCATTCACTATATCCGGTCTCCCCGGACCCTGCGTTCACTATATCCGGTCTCCCCGGACCCTGCGTTCACTATATCCGGTCTCTCCGGACCCTGCGTTCACTATATCTGGTCTCCCCGGACCCTGCGTTCACTATATCTGGTCTCCCCGGACCCTGCGTTCACTATATCTGGTCTCCCAGGACCCTGCGTTCACTATATCTGGTCTCCCCGGACCCTGCGTTCACTATATCTGGTCTCCCAGGACCCTGCGTTCACTATATCTGGTCTCCCCGGACCCTGCGTTCACTATATCTGCTCTCCCCGGACCCTGCGTTCACTATATCTGCTCTCCCAGGACCCTGCATTCACTATATCTGCTCTCCCCGGACCCTGCATTCACCTATCTGCTCTCCCCGGACCCTGCATTCACTATATATGGTCCCCCACAATACATAGGACATGGAAATGCAATTATTTTAGTAAATATAAACTGCTAAATACCTCTTCTCATCAGCAGTTAGAGCAGTCCTGTGACTTCTATCAGTGCCCTGCAGAGCACTGTTTATAGCTTGTAGGTGGAGTTTTCTCTAGGAGGATGCAGAACCTCTGACCTCTGTTTGGACAGTACTGATTGGCCCTGTGCTGATCAAATGCACTCTCCCAAGAAAAGAAAAACAACCTCTCTAGCAATACACACCAAACTGAGCATGTGCAGAGGGTCTCCACACGATATGTCTTATCAGGAGATAAGAGGGGGACACTGGAAGAAAGGGAGGATCAGAGAAGACAGGATCAAACAGCCTTTTTACACAATGCAGAGGATTAGCCCCTTAGGTTCCACAGTGAGTATAACAAGCATGCTTTACTGCATATACAGACTGATCTTACTGTTGTGGGTTTAGTAACACTTAACCACCTCCCGCCCACCATATAGTAATATGAGGGGCGCAAGGCGGTTCTCTTGTTCTGGGAGGAGGTCATATGACGTCCTCCCATTCTCACCGTGCATGCGCGGCTCCCGGAGCATGCAGCGCGGCAATCAGCGGTACGCTGTGTCCCTCGGACATAGTGGATCACTGATCCACGGAAAGAGCCGAAGATGTCGGATCAGTCATGTGATCAGCTGTGTCCAATCACAGCTGATCACATGTAAACAGGGAAATGCCGGTTATCTGCATTTCTCTCCTCACGAGCCGTCACGCTAACAGAGGAGAGGAGAGCCGGTAATCGGCATCCCTCAGAGGGGACATGTACACTGATCATCAGGGCACTGATGATCTGTGTAGCCCCAGCAGTGCCACCTGTCAGTGTCCAACATTGCTCATCCATGCCACCTGCCAGTGCCCATCAGTCCCACATCAATGCCACATATCAGTGCCCATCTGGGCTGCCTTTCAGTGTCACCCCTCAGTGCCAGTCAGTGCCACCTATCAATGCCAGTCAGTGTCACTTATCAGTGCTGCCAATCAGTGCCGCCTATCAGTGCCAGTCAGTACCGCCTATCAGTGCCCGTCAGTGCTGCCTATCAGTGCCGCCTAACAGTGCCAGTCAGTGCTAGTCAGTGCTGCCTATCAGTGCCATATATGAGTGCTGCCTTTCAGTGCCCATCAGTGATGCCTGTCAATGCCCATCAGTGCCACCTACCAGTGCCTCCTCATCAGTGCCCATCAGTGCAGCCTCATTAGCGCACATCAGTGAACGAGAAAAATCACTTTTTTTACAAAATTTTAGAACAAAAACTAAGAAAAAAACATTTTTTTTCAAAATTTTCAGTGGTTTTTGGTTTGTTTAAGAAAAAATAAAAATCCCAGAGGTGATTAAATACCACCAAAAGAACGCTCTATCTGTCACAAAAAATGATAAAAATTTCATATGGGTACAGTGTTGCATGACCGCGCAATTGTCATTCAAAGTGCACCAGCGCTGAAAGCTGGAAATTGGCCTGGGCAGGAAGGGGGTATAAGTGCCCTGTAGGCTGGTGGTTAAAGTGGTTGTAAACACTTCTATATACCCTGTGAAGTGACTGGGCTCAGGTGATACACAGAGATGAAACAAATCCTCCTACATAAGTTGTACCTGTTTATCTGTAGCTGTCTGTCCCCTACATCCATTCAAGCTGCAGGATTTATACAGGATCTCTCAGATCCGAAAAGCAGGGGGCGGGGATCTGAAGTTACATCAATGAGGATCGCTCTGAGAGCTGATTGGAGGGAAGGGACACAACTCCTTCACACAGCGCACAGGAACAGAGCTGAGGCTGTCAATTTGCTGGAGGTCCCTCCCCTGTCACCATTTTTTTCTTGGTGTCAGGAAAACTTGTCAAAAGTGACTCATACCAATAGCAGAGGAAGGAAGCTGCAGACAGAAATGGCATTTAGTTCTCTGGATTGTGGCAAGTACACACTATAGAGGGATATGCTTTGTTCATATTTCATGTCTGCGGTTTACCATCACTTTAATGTAGGGAATAAATTAAGTTAAAAAACGTTTTAACATTAGAAACACTTTAAGAGCACATACATGAATAGAATACTTGTTCAATGTCACTTTGAGGCGGAACTTCTCTCTCTGAACTTTAAACATTGTCATCCTTTTGTTTTCAGCATTAGTAAATAGAAGGGAAGGTACAGTTGCAAGAAAAAGTATGTGAACCCCTTGGGATTACGTGGAGTTTTTCATGAATTGGGCATAAAATGTGCTCTGAACGTCATCTAAGTCACAACAATAGAAGAACACAGTCTGCTGAACATAATACTACACAAACATTAGATGTTGCCATGGTTTCATTGCACATAATATGTAAACATTCACAATGCAGGGAGGAAAAAGTATGTGAGGCCCTAGCTTAATGACTTCTCCCAGAGCTAATTGGAGCCAGGAGTGAGCCAACCTTGACTCCAATCAGTGTGATGATATTGGATGTGTTGCTGACAGCTGTCCTGCCCTTAAAAAACACACACCTGTTTTGGGTTTACTGGTTTCAAGAAGCACTGTCTGATGTGAACCATGCCTCGCAGAAAAGAGCTCTCAGAAGACCTACCATCAAGAATTGTTGACTTGCATGAAGCTGGAAAGGGTTACAAAAGTATCTCCAAAAGCCTTGATGTTCATGTGTCCACAGTAAGACAGACTGTCTACAAATGGAGAAAGTTTAGCACTGTTGCTACTCTCCCTAGGCATGGTCGTCCTGTAAAAATGACTGCAAGAGCACAGCGCAGAATGCTGCATGAGGTAAAGAAGAATCCCAGAGTGTCAGCTAAAGACCTACAGAAATCTCTGGCACATGCTAACATTTTTGTTGACACATCTACAATAAGGAAAACATTAAACAAGAATGGAGTACATGGGAGGACACCACGGAGGAAGCCATTGCTGTCCAAAAAGAATATTGAAGCACGTTTGAAGTTTGCAAAAGAGCACCTGGATGTTCCACAGCACTACTGGCAAAATATATGAAACAGATGAAACCAAGATTGAGTTGTTTGGGAAGAACACACAACACTATGTGTGGAGAAAAAAAGGCACAGCACACCAATATCAAAACCTCATCCTCACTGTGAAACATGGCGGAGGGAGCATCATGGTTTGGGGCTGCTTTGCTGCCTCAGGGCCTGGACGGATTGTTGTCATTGATGGGAAAATGAATTCCAGAGTTTATCAAGACATTTTGCATGAAAACGTACGACCATCTGTCCACCAACTGATGCTCCGCAGAGGATGGGTGATGCAACAGGACAATGACCCAAAGCATACAAGTAATTCAACAAAACAATGGCTGCAACAGCACAGAATATGCCTTCTGGAGTGGCCCAGTCAGAGTCCTGACCTCAACCCGATTGAAATGCTGTGGCATGACCTTAAGAGAGCGATTCACACCAGACATCCCAAGAATATTGCTACACTGAAACAGTTTTGTGAAGAGGAGTGGTCCAAAATGACTCCAGATCGTTGTGCAGGTCTGATCTGCAACTACAGGAAACGTTTGGTTGAGGTTATTGCTGCCAAAGGAGGGTCAACCAGTTATTAAGTCCAAAGGTTCACATACTTTTTCCTCCCTGCACTGTGAATGTTTACATGTTATGTGCAATTAAACCATGGCAACATCTAATGTTTGTGTAGTATTATGTTCAGCAGACTGTGTTCTTCTATTGTTGTGACTTAGATGACATTCAGAGCACATTTTATGCCCAATTCATGCAAAACTCCACGTAATCCCAAGGGGTTCACATACTTTTTCTTGCAACTGTATATTATATTTTCTTGTTTTAAAAGGGGTTTTTTACATTTCTTCAACTACTTCCTGGTTTCCAGACGCAGGCAAATGATGTCCTACATCCCAGGAGTCTTCATGAGGGGAGGAGCGGCTTTCTCAGCTAAGCACACCCTCCTGCCTGCATGCCTGAGCTAAGGGAGATGGATTCCAGGCAGTAAATGCTACTAGCTT